GGTGAGGATCCGGTATGGAGCTGGACGATCGTAGACAGAAGACTTAGGCCATGCAGCTGCTACATGCCCTGAACCGTTGGGTTCTTTTTTACCCTAGAATGTCTGCCTTTTCCTTTTATTCCATAAAATTTGGTATGTTTGCTCATGTACCCAAGTAGAGCAGATACACAGATTAATTGACATTGTTAGGGAGGCAATGAGATTTACTCGCAATCTGCGACTGCCAGTCACACTTTTTCTTGACAACATAATTGCCTCGAGGATGTATAAACACAGTCTTTCACTAGCATTTTTTTATGAATTTATAATTTTTAGATTAAAGTAAATTTTTTACATTTAAATATTGAGTGTTAATTATTAAGGCCTCGTTTGTTTCCATTAAGATTAATTAAGACGTCTGAATATTAAGATATGCAATAAGGTTTAGATGTGTAAATTTGAATACACATTTAAATATTAAGATATTGTATATGTGTGAACACTGGATTGTTGGGACGGTTTGTTTTCAATATCTGAAAGTAAATATGAAATTAATGTTATATTAATAAAATATTACTACCTCCGTCCGGTAATGTTTGTCGTGGTTTTTACTTTTAGAGTCAAACTATTAAAACTTTGATTAACATTTTAAGATGTATTTTTTCATCATATTAATATAAAAAAAATTTGTAATTTATAATACTTTTCATATAATATGGGATTTAGGTAAGTTATACTTTAGAATATCTATTTTTTTGTTTAAAATATCAAATTAATGTAATCTAATTTACCTTTGAAAATTAGTCAAATTTACTTTTGATAAGCGCAACATGACAAACAATTCTGGACGGAGGGAGTATAATATAAAAACCTCATTTTAGTAAAATAGTTTATTTTTATAAAAAAATAATATTTTAAACATTTTTATCGTAACAATGTAAAATTATTTATCAATTAAAAATTTAACATTTAGTTACATCATTAATATGATTATTTGCACTCAAAAACTTTGAGAATCTAATATAATGCAATGTAAAAATAGTTTATATAGAGTAGTAACATAATGTTTTATGAAAACATTTATTTTATAACGAACATTTGTTATTATTATCGATCGAATAATTAATGCTTTCTTATTTTTTGGAACCATGCTATATATTATATCATGAAATGTTTATCAATTCAAATATATCGATTAATTTATGAAAGTAAAAGACGTATATTAAGTTAGTAAGAATAAAGAAAATTATAACGGTAAGCATGTAATTAACATTAACTAAATAAGAAAAAAAAACTTTTATGAGTTGTCATGATGTAATTGAATAAAGATAGAAGTCTTATTTTTGAGTCTGAATTGTTTTAAAGAGTGTGTCAAAAATCTAATTCATTCAGATGTATTCAGACCCATTAAAAGGCTTATAGGAAATAAAAAAGACAAACTTAATCAACTGAAGGAAATAAAAAAAAACAAACTTAATCTGAATAATTAAGATTCAGTCATAAAAAACAAACACACTGAATGAGGCGAATCTGATTGATTAAGATTCAGACCCTCTTTAAGTGCAAACAAATGAGGCCTCAGTCCATTAAGTACGTTTGTTTTTTTAAGTCCGAATCTGAATCATTCAGATGCAACCCTTTAAATTCATTTGTTTTATTTTTTAAAAACTTCTTAATGAGTCTGTTGTGGTCTGAACCAATCAGATCTGTATGAGAGACTTAACAACATTCTGATTCATTTGATAAGTTATCAAATAATAAATCATAGTTTTTCAGCTTTAGACGTGTCTTTTTATCTCATAAATAAAAACTTTATTTCTGCTATATACATATTTGTATTATAGTGAATGTGTCCTTCTAGGATATGATTAGAAATTCTACTTAGTGACCAAGTTAGGTTTATACGAATAAGAAGTCGTTACTCTTCTCCCTACTTTATTCTTCTTCTTGTTTATATAGTTTCATAACAATTTCTCTCTTTTCTCAATCAAACATCATTTTTTTCCCAACGGGTAAATTTTCATAAATTTTTTCAAGTATTGTTTTTATATTAATAATTTTCTTGTTTTGACTTGTGTCAAGAACTCTGGTTGCGATAATATTTTTGGTGTATTGTTGTTTATCAAAGTTTTGAATGAAAAAATAGTACTTCAAATCATGATATTAAAACATTTAAAACTTTTCTTTTTTTTATCAAAAGTAATATATTTTGTTGAAATGAAAATTTTATAATATTTTATTAATATAATGTTCAATTTCACTTTCACATTAGATATTGAAAACAAAAACATTAATTATTTAATATTAAAATTTAGAGATCACACCAGATCAGATAAAAAAACTCAGATCTTAATACAAATCTTTAATATGTGTATTGAGATTCAGATCTCTTATTCTTGATGGAAACTAATGAGGCTTACACAACCTTTTAATATTCCGATTTAGACATGTTGTATGCATCTTAATATTGAGATATTTGTTAGTGCTATATTAGCAGGAAATTATAATGTGAGCAAGCAACAAAAGAAGTAATGTGTAATATTCTGATGGATTAGTGACGAAAAACAAATTCATACATAGCTAAATAATGGCGCCTCTCCAAAGAAAATATCCTATTGAAGCTTCCTGACGAAACTCCAGCAAGAAATTTATTAAAAAATTGGTGCTGAATTAGCATGAATATTATGTAACAAAAACTAGATAACACGGTCGCCTCATCTGTCAATAAAAATGGCTTTGTTAGGGCACAAATCAATGACAGACTCATAGCTGCCTTTAAATCCCAAAATTCTAAGGATAATTTTGCGGTTGTCATTTTTTGATTGAGGTGTATAAAAAAATTGGTTCACCTTTCTCTTAGGTATATATTTCTGAATCTTACTCTTTCTTTAATTTGCTCCCAATAAACTCAACTTTGAAATATACAACCATGTAACCTCAATCATTAATACACATATAAGAATGAAAACATAATACATTATTATTTAAAAATTTAAATACGATACCACATAAAATTCAGTTATATTGAGTATTTTTTTTTGAATTCAAATTTGTTTAAACTCCGTTGTCTATTGTTTTGATAAGTTTGACCATTTGAATTCAAATTTATTTGAACCTCATTCTTCATATTAATATCTAGTATCGGGACATGTGACTTCATATTAATATCTAATATCGGAACATGTGAATGATATTGAGTGAATTCTGTTGAAAAGTTTAGATTATTTAAATTCAAGTATGTATAAGTTTTACTATTCATGTTAATATTTAATGTTGGGATATGTTAAGTTGTCATTGAAAGTATTCTAGAGCATTTCATTTCAGTCGTTAGACTGTCATCTCCTCTTTTTATTCTTTTCCTGATTCATTTTATTGCTATTATGAGCCAAAATAGTTGGCTATATTCTTGGTATAAATCTTTTTATTCTTTTCCTCATTCTTTTTATTGCTATTATGAGCCAAAATAGTTGGCTATATTCTTGGTATAAATCTTTTTATTCTCTTCCTCATTCTTTTTATTGCTATTATGAGCCAAAATAGTTGGTTATATTCTTGGTATAAATCTTTTTATTCTCTTCCTCGTTCTTCTTATTGCTATTATGAGCCAAAATAGTTGATTATATTCTTGGTATAAATAGGAAAATTAGGGCTTATAAATAACATCCCTTATCACTCGTCACTTCTATTTGAGTTTAGAAAATATTGATAATTGATTATAATTTAATAATTAATTTTTCTTTTTCAATTGACATATAATATTTTGTTAAGATAAGAATAAATATATATAAATTGTTCTCTGTTATTTTACACTACAAATGTTTAGATCCCTTTTATTAATTATAATTTTGAAATATTTCTCAATAAAGTCAATGATTATCTAAACTATCAAAACTATTTAAACAGTATTTAAAATTAAAATTTCACTTGATTGAATATACCTATCAAAGATTAGTTTTTACTTGTATACTAATATTTGTAGTAGTTTTATTTACAAAAATCAATATTATAGTGGTTGTTACCTCTTTATAAGACATTCAAAGTTAAAAGACAATATTTTTTAAAATTTAACTAGTTGATAATATAAATTAGTTTGAGTTTGAAATATCTAATAAAACATCTTAAAGAATGGACGACAATCTTACAAAGCTAATATTAAGACATGATTGATTCAAATTAAAGTAAAATAGATAAATTAAGGAATGAAAAGTAACGGTAGATTCAATTACTTATAATTAGGGGTGTGCACTCGATTTTACGGTTCGATTTTATATTATTCGGTTTGAATTTTTGATTTTTGATTTTGAAGAAGTGTAACCCAATTCAAACCAAAATAAATTCGATTTGATTTGTTTTTTCTCTTTTTGGTATGAATTTTTTCGGTTTGGTTAATCGGTTATGTACATAACAAAATTTTATATATATATATATATTCGTAACTAAACAAAAAAATCAAACAAAGTAAATTATAAATCTAAAACCAAACCAAGAATCCAAAAAATCACTCCAAATTAAAATTCGATTTGATTTTTTGGTTTAATCTAAATAGTGCACACCCCTATTTTGTACTTCAAACATATTTACTTAATAATTAGTAAGAAATTAACTTATGTACTTAATAATTAGTAAGAAATTAGTAATAAATTATTAAGAAAATTTGAATTTAGAGTACAATAAATAAAACGGAAAAGTCATATTTGTTCTTGTACTCTTAGAAAAGGATTATATTTACCTTTTGTTATACTTTTTTATTATATTTGTCTCTATCATTCAACTTTGGATTTATATTTATCCTTTGGGTGTTAAGTTCCACATAAACGGAAAAGAATAATAATAAGGAGTGATGTGAAACTTAACAATCCAAAGGGTAAATATAAATTCAAAGTTGGATGGTATGGACAAATATAATCAAAAAATATAACAAAAGATAAATATAGCCATCTTCTAAGAGCACAAGTTCAAATATGACCTTTTTTCGTAAATAAAATAGTTTTTTTATACTATTCGTTCTACTTGGGGTATTTTGGGCCCTTCCAAATGTGGTATGGCTTAATACGGCGCTTGTGACAACTAACATTCTACGTCGCCTTTAGCAGAGTTGGTCGTCTCTTTTATGTATGGTATCGCCTCTTGATGCTCAAATTTATCTTCGGATTCGGATGTGTTATATATATATATATGTTTGAGCTTCCTTTTTCAAACTGAATTTGGGGATTTTTTGGAAAATTTGTAATTTTGTTAGCTTTAGGGCTTAGGGTTGAAACGCCCTTGGTTTCAACTGTGCTTTAATGGCTTTATGGTTTGATTGTCAATATACATTGGAAATTATTCTTGTAGCTTTGACGGACAAATTCCGCTACTGGTTTTCTCATGGATGAGAAAGATTTGGAAATTGAGGAAACAAGTCCAGGAGATGAAGCTGTACGAAAAGTTAAAAAGAAGAAGAAGAAGGTGAATGCGGAAAAGCGTGGAGTTTGTCACGTAAGTAGAGTACCGCCTCGTATGGACCACGTGAAACTTCGCCTGGTTCTTTCTCAGCTTGGAGAAATTCAGAGAATATATCTTGTACCTGAAGGTTAATTTAGTTCTCATATTTGGTTAAACACTTCACTATGCTTGCTTGTCTTGCATACAGCTGCTTCTGCAAACGGGCAGGTGGATTCCGAGGGCAAGCATTTTCAGAAGGGTATGCTTATATTGAAGTTTCTGTCAATTGAAATCAGATTATCTATTATTTAGCATGAATTGTATTTTGTATCTACATGATTATAACACTCTTTTTTTACCAAAAGTAATTAAACTATCATCTATATCTGTAGGTGGGTTGAGTTTACGAAAAAGAGTGTTGCCAAAAGAGTCGCAAATATGTTGAATGGTCAACAGATGGGTAAATTAACATATTTCCTTAGCAGTGCCTTCCTTTTCTTTTTATTTCTTTTCCAGTTTAAGGAATTCTGTTTAGATTTTAGACATTCAGGCTATTTACATATCTTAGCATCTTGCAGTAAGTCTTTTTCTCTATGAGATGACCAGTTATTGTGCTTATTACACATTTTTAGGGACACCAATTATTCAGATACTAGCCAAAATTTGGCTTCTATTAGGATCAGACTAACATTGTTATTTTGCATTACGCCATTTGTGTCGTAACAATGTAATTTGATTAGCCTCCAAGGCCTAGCTCGAGTGGCAGAAGGTGGAGAATTTGTGGCTTAGGTCACAGGTTCAAGCTCCACACCATGCAAAGCGAAGCCCAGTATTATGCACCGAGTTTAGAAGGCTGTGATTGGTCCAAAGGACGGCAGGTCACAGTCAGATTTCTCGGTTATCAAAATAAATATGTCATTTGATTATCCTTGTTTATATTCTTCCGATTCAGCTTTCAACTTCTGTTTCTCTTGTATTTTCTGTGACCTTGAGAGGCTATTTACTTTACTGTCAAATTTCTGTTTGACAGGTGGAAGGAAAAGGTATTATGACATTTGGAATGTCAAGTACTTGTCTAAAATCAAATGGGATGATGTTACTGATGAAATCGGTATGCTGTTATTTTTCGATTTATTGGGTACTGATGCATTCTTCAATCTCCATTCACTTCTTAATTGATGCCTTACAAACATTTTTGCAGCACAAAGGCATGCAGTTCGTGAGCAGAAACTAGCTTTGGAGCTTTCTGCTGCTAAGAGGGAGCGTGATTTCTACCTCACACAAGTTGATAAATCTCGTGCTTTAAGTTCTATTGAAGAACGAATGAAGAAGGTCAGTGATACAGTTTTTAGTTAATTCTTTGGCATGGAAGTAGTAGTTAAACAGCATGTTTTGAACTCCCTCGATTGACTTTCTCATTTACCATCTCCTTTTGAGTTTTTATTCCTTCTTTAAATAGTAGTTACAACATGAGACAGCTCTAGTTTTTCGTCGATAAGCCCTGATGTGATGTTAAAAGATGTCTCTTTAAGCAAAACTAAAAAAATATATAAATGTTGGTTTGTGTGTAAAATAGAAAAAGTCTCTTTCCTCCCCCCGAATTATTATTACTTGTAATGTATTATAGCCAGGTTTAGTTTAGGTATTTGACCACTCAGTTTCATATTACCTTATATCTTGCACAACTGAGTAGTATAGTATTGATAATACTTTTTAACTGTTCCATCTTTACAGAAGCAAAAGGTGCAACAAGAATCTGGGGTAATTTCTGATTTCCCAAGTGATCAGTTTGCACCAAAGGTGATACGACAATTTCCCCAGAAAAAACCTGTGGCAGATCAAACTGGGAAAATCAAGCCTAGTTTGTCAAAGGACATTTTGGCCGGAGTAAGTTCCATTTCCTCCATTCGCTGCCCTGGTGCAAGAGGAAAATAAAGGTCTTGCTAATGTTCTGATGAAAGCTGCTCTCTTCATTTTGTATAGGTATTTGGTGGTCAAATGACAAGGGCATACGGGTGCAAACGTTTCAGAAATTTTGCTTGCCAATTTTCTCAACCATACATTTGATTTGTTGCCTTCAAAAAGTTTATCTCGATGATTATTAGATGTTGGTATTATAAGTAAACGTCAATCAAAATTTTATGTTTATTTGTAGTTGATTGTAGATGTGTATGTGTTTGTAGCCTTGTCTAACTTGTGCAGTCTGTGAGACGTATTGAGCTCACACCTCGAACCAAACTATGATCAGATGCTCAAAACGTGGATCACCAATTTAGATTTGTAGTAAATTTTTACTGGCCGTCCTTAACCCCATAATCACCTTTTAAGGTCATATGTGAATTATATTTAAGTTGCTTAAGAAGATTTTACCATAAAAATGTCGTTTAAGAGAAGACTTGCAAAGTTTCGTAGACGTGTGCTTCTAAAGATTTACATATGTTGCACCCCATGAGAGAATTATGAATAATTTTTGCTTGAAGATATCTCAAACTAATAAATACATGATAAAAGCACTGGAAAAGGAGAAATATCATTGATCATTATAGCGAAAAGAATGTGATGTACTATGACTTAAACAAGAAAGAATAGATTTTCCTATGTCTACTCAAACTTGATCAATCTATAATTTTATTAATTATATTCTTTTGTGTGTGTGTATTCACACGAGTTGTTACAGTTAAGAAGAAGAAGAGAAAAAAAAAAACTAATTAAGTTTCCAACTTCCATCATCACATGGGGAACAACCTTCTTGAGCAATGTCAGTGATTTGAAGTCCAGTATCATAAACCACCCCATTTTTCCAATCTGATGGCAGCACTGATTTAGCCCAAATCCACTTGCCATCGTACCCTGCTGTCACTACAAACCTGAATTGCAATGCCCCACTTGGCACTCTGCTTGTATCCCAAATTGCTCCGTGGTTTCGGCTCAAGAAGTTCCAGTTCGACGATCCAACCTAACAACACATTTATAATTCACTATATATATATATATATATATCAAGATGGAAAAGTGATGTAACTAGGCTTTTTTTTTTACCTGAGCAACATCAACACTGACAATTTCAGTTTGACCACCCTGGTAGAAGATGCTAATTGCTAGGTAATGCGGCTTCTGGCTTGATTCATCTACTCGAACAGCCAAATTCTTGCCTTTGTAGTCACAAGGAACTCTGTCCCCATACACAAAAACAATATTAGTATTTGCAGTATAACCTTTCATTCCAAGCGCTTATCCATTAGATTAATTTACTACCGTTCAATTGACCCCTACTTTTTTAATTATGTACTAGTACTACATTGTCTGGTCAAGTGGGGCTTCTTTTATGTCAAATTCTACAACTATTATTTTATTATTTTTGGTGGTTGCAACGAAACCACCAAAGATTAACATTAACACGGTGTGCTGACAAGGAACGTAAAGTTCGTATCGTAAACAGAGCATTATTATCCAAAAAATAATTTCTCGTAACGTGGTCAAGATAATTTAGTAATTGTGAAATACTCATATTAAACACTAACCTTTTGTATTCAACATCGGCGATTCCCAATTTGTGAACATCTTGAGCTTTTCCCTCAATGGCCATAGCCATAAAAGCTCTGCTACTGATGACAAAATCAGTCTGGTTATTCGTATTTAGATCAGTAACCATCACAGTTGTTCCATGTTTTGAACAAATTTTTGGGTCCGTACATCTTATCTGCAAATCACACAAATTTATGAGAAATTGAATTTCTCAAAATTACATTTGTTATTGATGGAGAACTCAAAACTCAATTAACCTGATAACAAGCACCACAACCAGCACCATTATCGTAAAGTTTAGGAACAGCAGCGGCAAGTCGACCTCCATTGAATCCTATTGCTAAATTTCCATAACCACAAGCACCCGCTACAAATACAAAAATATAGAAAATTAGATTAAGAAAAAACAAACCTATGTTATTTATAAGTAATTAAAAGAGACTTACAGAGAAGCGCGGAAGAACTGGAAAAATAAGCAACTTTGGATCGGTGAACACAGCGATCACAGGCTGTAACTGAAGAGACGAAAAGAAGCAAGACAAGGAAGAAGAGAGACATATTTATTTATTTTTTGTTATATGAAGAAATGAATTGTTTTGAGTGAGTAAATGGAGGAGTGATAAGGCCTTTATATAATAAGAATAAGTTTGAGAAAGAGAAAGTGGGGTGGGTTAATTAATGGGTGCCACTGAACGGAGTATTTATTTTTTTATTTTTGAAGTAAACGAGTAAATAAGCGCAAAACATATACTATATTATGGAATGTAATGCTCAATACACGGTAAATTATGAAATCTAGATTAAAATAGAAGGAATAATGATAAATTACTCTTGCTGTATTGGGACTTTTCATAATGGAAGAGTTGTAACTTTTTATGTTCGAAGAGTTGTAATCGTAATTTTTTATATTGAAGAGTTGTATTTTTTTAAAAGATTTATGATGAAGTATTGTAACTTTTCTAAAGGATTGTGATTATTTATGCTACTCTTTTAAGGATTATGACTTTTAATATTGAAGAGTTGTGACGTTTTTTAAAGATAGTAATTTTTCTAAATGATGATTGTGATTTTTCTAATAAAAGCACCATAAACATCTATATACACTAAATTTTGTTAAACATAAATAAAAGAATTTTATTTCATTTTTCAAAGAAAATATTCTGATTTTCTACTCTTCTCCTTTTTACGCACACAAAAAAAAAAAGAGGATCTCTTGCGAATTATTGTAGTCGAGTGAATTCGTTGTCATGCGGGTATATATTTTATTACCTTTTGTTACTGTTTTATTGTTCTTCATGAATGACTAATTTCTTTTGTTATTTATTCAACACCAAATCATTTTTAACCTATTTTCACATAAAATATAATTTTTGTTCCTCCCAAACATATCCTTATTATGGATTGGAAGAGAAATAGTGGAGATGGGGACAGTTTGACACTTGACGCCGACCAGCTGCTGTGCAACATTTACAGCTGTCCGTGAAAACCCACTAATTGATATTACTAATTTGTTTTGCGTCTGCCTCCTTTTTTTTTCCTTAGAGTCACCACATTTCTGTTATTCCGTGTGCGGGTTTTATCTAAAAGTTTAAATAGATTAGGAGATTATATTTTTATTCATATTGCGGATCTTAAGTATGAGAGTTTAGTTACTATGGATTCTCACAAATTAAAATGTATAGTTGGAATATTAGTTGTTTATACAAAAAAAAAAAGATGTCTTAATTTTGCACTCAATCTTAATTTGTTTGTTTATTTTATTTTTCTCAAGCATATAAAATTGTGTGGATCGCATTCTACGTGAAAGCCATATGTAGTCGTTTTATTCTTGTGTTTGATTAGAAGAAAAAAAGATGTAGATATAGAAAGTAAAGGGTGAAACAATCATATTTGGCTATCTTTGTGTGTTTGCGCGTTTCTCCTAAAAAGTGAGAAATAAAATAGGCCCACATTTACTTGTCATGTTGGAATTTAGATAACTTGCCTCCACAAAGGAACAAAAAGAACTAGTTGTAGTATGCAAATTAACATGTATTCTTTTCTTAAATATGAGATATTCCAAAGATAAAAGCTAAGAACACCAAGTCTAATAGAAAGTTACTTTTAGATAGGAGATATTTTGCTTCAAAGTAAGTAGGTGTACAGATAGGATCACCATCTTTATCGTAAAACAAAAATAATAGCCAACAGCTTTGCTTTTCTTCTTCTTTGGTTACATTATTTCTTTTGAAGACTTAAAAAGTAAAGGGACTTTGTGTAGAAGAATATTCCAAACTTAAAATAAATTGTATATAGTGTTACGGCTGAATCGATTGAGCAATGTCCTGAATTCGATACTTACATGTGTAGTTTATGGGCTATGGTTCCTTGTTTTAAAACATGAAATTAATTTGTTTAAAAGTTGAGGATTCATGAATGCAACATGTAACCAAGTTGGTTGGCTGATCATGGAGAAACAAGACAAAAAGAAATTAGATGGGCCACAAATTAATTGGCTTTCAAAAGTAAACCAAAGCTAAGGAAGGCCAGCTATATCCTTTATGTTTTCTTCAAGTCTAAATCATGTTCATACCTTGACTTGATTATTAATAATATCGTAGAAATTGGAATATAACCTTTTTGGTTTCATAAACTAATGCTAAATTCTGTTTTTAATTCTTTGGGTATCGCTTTGAGCTTCCATTAGTGTGTTTAGACATATATATATATATATATCATGGAGACTAAAAACGTTATTAAAACCTAAAAACTTAATAATGAAATAATATTGAATAAGAAATGATGTAATTTTATTTTTTTACTCTTATTTAATGTTTTTTTAAGTTAGCTTTATAATCAATAATGAATATATTTTCAAGAAATGATAGAGTATAATAGACAAAATATTGTAACTTTAACAAATATTGTAATTCAGTTATTTATTAAAAAAAATTGTTATATAAAATAAGACGGAAGGAGTATTGATGTATAGAAGCTGGAAGCCATTCATAGACCACCAAAATGAGCCACTTCAAATTAAATTCCCAAGGATTCTTATTCTCAAAAACATATATTTCAGCAATGGCGCAGCGTACCTTGACCAATGGCATCATCTTCTTTTAAGAAAATTCTTGACTTTTTACCTTTAGCAGAGTTCAGAAAACCAGGAATTGACCTATGGGCAACGTATAAACAAAAAATTCATTAAATAAGCCACCACAAGTCAAATCCATTCGCACTACTTAAAATTTATCTAAGTTCTATTTTACCCACTTAATACCATATCAATGGAAACTTATTATTTACATGTTTCATCTTTCTGAATTACTTGTTACTTATTTATTTCACAAATCCATTAAGAGGGCAGTGACTGCAAAGTCTAAAATTGAATAGAGAAACTACTCCCTCCGTTTGAATTTCATTTAATTTTTTTGAAATTCAAGTTTTCAATCAATGAATATGAATTAATTTATTTTGATTAATTAATTTAATCAATGAACATGAATCATTAACTTAACTCAAAAAGGGTAAAAAAAGATAATGTATGCATTGATTTTATGAAATTACAAGTATTATGAACCAACTATTTATAGAAAGAAATGATAAAAAGAAACGGAGGCAGTATTCAATACAATGGCACATGGCAGTAGAAATAAGATCTGTAGCAACATTGAAGATTGAGCTTAGCTGGTGTTCATGGCAAACCATTAATAGTTGCAGATGTATGCTTCTTATGTGAAGTACAAGAATGGTT